ATCTGGCAGCGGTCCCTTCCTCTGCCACCACGGAGCAGCCGTGATTAGCTGCCTGAGCGCTTTCTCCAAACAAGTCACTGTTAGATGCCCCTCACCTTCCATCGCTGCCTGCCAAAGGAAGGTGGCGGACCTTAACAATGAACATTCCGCTGTTATCGGGCAGCGCCTCCATCTCCAAGGAGCCCAGGGTGTGGACGCCTCCCGAACACACAGACGGGACCCAGAAACACCCGCCACGGAGTTGGCTAGACTGGGTTTCGGCAAGTGAAGGGGGCTAAGGTGCAGGGAGGTGTTGACACACAGACTGAAGCTGAGCTTCCCTTTCTGGGGACGCACACACACACACACACACACACACACACCGCCCACCAGAGGTGTTAGGGTCAGCCTGAGTCTTCGGGGGAGGGCACCCCTCATTGCCTGCCCAGCCATTTCCCACCACCCCTGCACAGTCGGTGAGCAGTGTTAGCGTTTGAGACGAGCTGGTGGGGAGGGTGTGGGGCTGTGTGGCCACGTGCAGCATGCAGTGGGGGTCTGGGGCGGGCAGCCCAATGTTAGGGGCGGTTAGACACCCTGGGGAGAGGCAGAGAGCACATGCGCTCCAGTCCTCACAGTTTATTCTTTCTTTTCTGATACTTTGTCACCATGTCCTGCAAACTGGAGACAGAAAGAAGACAGTGGGCCAGGGGAAGAGGGCAGAAAGCTCAACAGGGCGGACCATGGAGGGTTCCCCCGCCGGAACACCAAGCGTCAGCTCTGGCTGACCGAGACCAGGGGGAGGGGGAGGGCCCCCTGTCTCCAAACAGTAGGCTCCCTGGGCCACAGGGAGGAAGGCAGTACTGTGGGTGGGCCCTGAGCAGCCTTTGGAGCTTCTCTGGGTCCTGACCCCACCCCTGAACCGCAGGCCTGCCAGCCTGGTGATTTCCCCCTCAGCCTCAGACTACAAATCTCGCTCTGCTAAAGCGTTCCCCGGGTGGGTTTTATGGGCGAGCTCTCTGGCACGGTAACAAGGTACCACAGCCTTTAAATCTCTGCTTTCCCCAGAGTGGGGCAGGCGCCATCAGAAATGCAGCTAAACGGGGGAATAACTCATTGTGAACGGGCAGAGTGCTGGGGAGCCAGGTCCTTGGGAAGGCCAGGGAGCGGGAGGGGAAGGCGTCACAGCTGGGCAGCATCTGTGCCCCCTCGCCACTGTGGCAGGATGGGGGCCCATGCCAGGGTCTGGCAGCAGGGGGAGGCTGGGTTGGCAGCTTGGTGATCGAGGCACAGGTGGCACCTGTTCTGCCTGGTGACCTGTCCCCAGGGGCGGTCAGAAGGGCCTGGGTCTGGGCCACCACTGCCAGAGAGGCCCACCCCCTCACCTGTTGATGAGCTGCTCATCCTCCTCACTCTCCATCTCATCCTCGATGGCTGCCTGCAGGTCCCCGATACGCTTGAAGGCCAGCTTGAGGTCGGCCTGCAGGCTCTGGTTCGCAGCCTCCAGACTTTCCAGATCCATCTCCTAAGAGGGAGAGCGGGCAGTTCTGTGTGTAGGAGGGCTCCCGCTGTCCCCGGAGAGCTACAAGTCACCAGAATCCTTTTTGCGCTGGTGTCCATGGGCCACTGGGGACTGGCCTCACCTGATGGAGACCCAGGTACCACGTAGCACCCTGGCCTGCTCTGATGGTGACCTGGCCTGGCCTCTTGACACATTCTTCTTCCTCCTCCCAGTCGTCAAGACCAGCCCGGAGGTGGTGGGTGATGGGAAGTGTCTGCCCTCAGCAGCCACGCAGAGGGGCTGCCTGCCAGCTTGGGGCCCCAGAGGGGAGGAGGGGCACTGATTACCAGCTCGTGCTTCTTGCGGCTAGCCTCCGCCTCCTTCCTGGCCAGCTCGCCCATCTCTTCCTTGGTGTCCCGGAGCTGCCGCTGCAGCCGCTTGTTCTGCTCCTTCTCCCGGTTCTCGGCTGCACTGCGCTGGTCTCGCTCCTCAGTCACCTTCTCCATGTTTTCCTTGATCCGGCTCACCAAGCTCTGCACCCGGAGGTGGGGAAGAGACCGACAAGGATGCCCGTCAGAGTTCTAGAGTTGAGAGGCCTGCGCATCCACCACTCACTGAAGCCGCCGAGCAAGCCTTTGTTTGCTTCTCTGTGAAAGGCGGATGATACCTACCTTCCAAGAGTCTTTTGAGGGCTGACAAGGGAACGTGTGCGAACGCCCTCTGGGAAGTGGCGAGCACTGTCAGCCATTCAGAGGCCCCGGGGTGGTGCTAATGGTTTGCGTCTGACTACTTCTCGAAAGGTTGGCGGTTGAAACCCAACCAGTGATGCCACGGGAGAAAGGTTTGACGCTCTGCTTCCATAGAGATTACGGCCAAGAAAAACCTATGAGGCTCAGGCACATGCCCCATGGGACCACCGTGAGCTGGCATTGACTTGATGGCCACAGGTTTGGTTTGGCATCATCATTAATGCCAAGAATGCAGGAAGTACTCCGGGTAGAGCCTGGCTAGGGGTCTGGAGCTGCCTTGAGAGAGTGCAAAGCCACATGCCCAAGAGTTAGGGCCAGTGCATGAAGGAAAATGGCTTTACCGAGCGTTCCTGGATTAGGGGACTCGACAGTCATCGGGTACCAAGCAGAAAAAGGTTCCTCTGAGCCTACTGAGTCTCTCCCCGTCAACCGATCGGATGCAGAGCAAGGATAAGTGGCCAGGAGAGAGGGGGTGCGTGTGAGGGGAAGGACCCTGCTTCTGGTCTTAAGCCAGGTCCTATCACTGACTGGTCATGGGGGCCTACCTCTCTGCTCCCCCAGCCTCTAAGTCTCTCCAATAACAGATTTAGACTCTGTGGTCTCTAAGGGTCACTTGTGTTTAACATTCTAGGATTTGAGACCACGATACTGCCTTTCTGAGCATAAGGAAAGCAGAGGGGTGGAGCCAAGGACAGAGGTCGGGCCCCAAGAGCAAAGGAGGCAAGTCTAGCTGGTCTGCCCTGCACCAGAGCAGTGACCTTTATGACCTGAGCCAACCTATTTAACCTTTCCTGCATGTAGACTAAGGAGCCTTGGTGACACTGGGTCGCCTCTCGCAAGGGTGGCAGTTCAAATCCAAGATGAGGCCGTCTGTTCCCCCGTAAAGATGTACAGTCTTGGAAACCGTAAGGAGCAGTTCTACTCGGAGCCATAGGGGCGCAATGGGTCGGATTTGACTTGATGGCAGACGGAGGGTCTAAGATCACCGCCCATCCTAGGGTCTTGTGGGCAGGCAGAAAACAAAGCAATGCAGAATGAACCAAGTGCTTGGTTACCTGTAACTATTGCTAAGTCTCCGTGAACTCTTCCCAGGTCTCCTGTGGACTGTGAACAGATTTGGGAGGTTCGGCCACTTTCTCTTCCTATATCAGGGGTCTCACTGCCCACTGCCCTCGGGATGCCTCCGTCACAGTGAGCCCACAGTCACCTGCTCCTATCCCCACCCTAGTGTCTGCTCTATGGATGGGGCAAAGGAGATGGCAGGGGCTCGGGGTTCCTAGGCAACCACACTCACGAACGCAGTTCTTGGGCAGAGCTGATAGTGGTTGAGAAGGAAGGTCTTAGACCCACGGGGTGTACACCCAGAGAGAGAATTCGCCTGCTTCTCTTGCGGTGGCCCTTGTGTGACAGGGTAGAACTCTCCCACAGGGTGTTCTTGCCAGGCCTTGCTTGCTTGGTTCTGTGGGTAGGTTCCAAGTCTGAGGTCAACAGGTGAGTACAAACCATTTGTGCAACTCAGGGACCTCCTTTCTTCCTCAGAGAGAGGGGCAGGGCCGGCAGCAGCATGCTGGCTTTGAGAGGGGCATTTGGATGACTGTTAGGAGGAAAATCAAACCTAAAACCCAAACCCAAATCAAACACGCTGCCACTGAGTCCATGGTAACACATCGCAGCCCTGCAGGACAGCGTCCGACTCTCCTGCACACTGCCAGGGCTCGCTCCCACAGAGCCGCTGGTGGGTGGGCTCAACCGGCTGACCAGCCAGCTAGCAGCTCCGTGCTTCAGTCACTGAGCCACCAGGGCTCCTTGTCAGGAGGCAGGGGGGCGAGCAAGACCCAGGAGGAAAGTGGGGGATGAAAAGAGCGAGCAGGGTTGAAGGACAGAGAATGAAATGCAGGGCAGGGAGGAGAGCTACTAGCCCAGGAGGGAGGAGGAGGGTGAGGTGGAGGGAAGGCAGGGCAACAGTGGAGGAGAATGAGAGGAGGAGGGAGAGCAGAGCCGGGAAGGGCGGGAAGAAGGAGGAAAGAGGAGGCTGCGCAGGGAAGGGGAGAGAAAGAGCGTGCCTGAGCCGAGAGAGCAGACTTCACCCCTCACAGAAGTGGCGCCATCCGCTGCATATTTATGACCCTGCCAGAGAGCAGTGAGGGGGATGGCGGCGGGCGTGGGGGGAGCTGGGAGTGGAGGAAAATATGAAGATGAAAAGCTAAGCTGCTCTGGTCCCTTGGCAGAAAGCAAGCACGGAAGCAGAATGTAAAGCAGGCAGGCTCCATGGTGCCCAGAGAGCAGGCCAGGCAGGGCGGGAGGGAGAGGCGGCACCCGCCCTGGCAGCTGCCCTGGCAGCTTGCGGCAGCGGATCCACCACTTGGCTCCTCCCGGCCTGGTCAAAAGGCCTCTGAGGAGCAGCCGGGGGTCTGCCCAGCCCTGTGGAGCGTGTGGCGCTGCAGCTGCCAGGGCACCTCTACCCCCCGCCCGCCCCCCACCCTTCCTCGCTGTGCATACCCACCAGGAGAAGTGCGTACCCACCTCCAGCCGCTTGACCTGGGTCCTTTCAAACTCCAGGCGTGTTTCCAGCTCCCGGATCTTAGCTTCCTGCCGGCTCACCAGGGACTTGTCCACCATGGACTGCTCCAGGAACTCCACCTGGCTCTGGAGGGCTTGCAGCTGGGGGTGAGGGGCAGGCGGTATCACCATGGTGACCAGAAGGCCGCCGAGGCAGGGGGAGAGGGTGGAATCATGATGGGGCCCTGAGCCAGAGGCATTTCCCCACCTGCCCCGCGCTTGGCACGGATCTCGCCCTTCGGAGAGAAAGGAGAAAGCTAAGGACCAGAGAGGGAATAGAAATGTGAAATGAGGCAGCTGAAGCCAGAACGCCTGCTATGGTGATATGGCTCCAGGCCTAGCTTTGCCACTAGTTTACGCTGTTCTCTGGATTGCTGAGGGCTGGGGGGAAGCACTGGCTAGCCTACGAGCTTGGGGGTTGGCCCCTAATTAAGGTTTCCACTCCACGGTGCCCAAAGTACCTTCTCTCTACCAAGGGAGAACCCTGGTGTGTGACACACACACACACACACACACACACTCACACTCACACCTACCTTCTCCTGCAGCTCTTGCTTCTCCTTGTTGGCCTCTTCCAGCTGAGCTTGGAAATCATTCATCTGAGCCAGATCCCGAGAGGCCTAGGGGAGGAGCGAGGCCATCGGAAGCAGGGTCCCCAATAACTAGCAGACCCAGGCCACCTCACCCTTACACTGAGTGCCAGGCCTCAGAAGGACCCACACCGCAACCTCCCACTCGAAGTGGCTGCCCTGGGGCCCCGAGGTGGGCCGGGAGGCCTCCGTGGGCAGGGTACCTGAGCCACGGCAGCCTTGTGCTTCTTCATGAGCTCGTTCATGTCTTCCTGGTCCTCTTCCAAGCGGTTCTGGATCTCGTTCTTCTCCCGCTGCAGGCGGCTCAGCTGCTCCTCCAGCTAGGCAGAGGCCAAGGCAGGTCAGAGGACAGCAGGCCTCAAGTCCAAAGGTCCCTCCATGTCCCCTCCAGCTGGGTAGGGGGCAATGGCCCGCTCTCTGGAGCAGGTTCCGGAAGCAGGGGTGCTGGGGCAGCTGCTCTGAGCCCAGGAGACGAGGGAGGGGAAGGGCTTTCTGCTGCCCAGGCCGACCCAGGGCACCTGGGCTAACAGACAGCGGCTCCCTGGCAGCTCTTTGGAAGCTGATGAGGAGGCAGAAAAGGTCTGTCCAGAACGACTGACCCGTCATCCTGGCACCAGCAGCGGAGGCCCTAACCTGCACGCACCCCACCCCCTTCAGGCCCTAAGGAAGGACCCCTCAAATCTGGGAAGCTCTTCTGGCCTGCGTCCTCTTGTCCCGAGACAGCTGTTCCCTGGCCCGCTGTGTAGTCCCCACAGCCAGTCCACTCCAGTGGCGGGGGCTGTGGGAGGGTGTGAGACAGCCAACAGCAGCTTCAGGGAATGAATGAATCTATTAGCCTGTAATTCCAAACCAAAATGACTGCGTTGGCTCCTTCTCTGCCCCATCCATCTTGTTACCAGGCTGTGGGGAGCTGGGGAAGCCTCCGCCAAGAAATTTATTAACTCGGATTTAAATAAAATGGTAATTTTATAACAGCCTTTTTTAACACAATTAAGGAATTTGAATTACTCACCTGAAAAGTGCTGAAGAGCACAAATGTCAGCAGGATAAATCAAGCGCAGGAGACTGGCACCCCTCCGTAGCTGAGTGTCTAGCTAGAGGTTCGTGCAGCCCACAGCCGGTAACCCCAGCCTCCCGGGCCCCGTTCTCTGCCCAAGGAGCTACCAGTGGCCGCATCCCATAATGACTTCTCTGCCAGCAATGGCAAAGGATGGGCCGTGGGAGAGGTGGGGAATTAAAAAGGAGGCATTAAATAAGAGCTCTAATGAGCTGCCGCTTGGGCTTGTCAGTGGGCTGGGCAGGGGGAGGGGAGGGAAGCCAAGCCACCCCCTGCTCTTATCGGTGCTTCTGCTAATCTCCAGGTGCCTGTTGACATCCCTCCGCCACATTAGCTGCCTTTATTTATGGTGTGGGGCCTGCGGCCAAGCGCCCACAGGCAGGTGGTTAAATGGGGAGATGGGCCCTTGCTGGCTCCCTCTTCCCAGCCTGCCCTTCTTCTTGTGGGGAGGGGCAGCCTGCTCTCCATGCAGAGAGGAAGCTGGCTGGGGAAGGGTCCCTGTGGCCACCGCTTACCCCGGTCTTGGCTTTGGCGATGTCATCAATCTGCAGGTGCAGGTCTTCGATCTCCACCTCCATGGCTTTCCGTGCTTTCACGGCCGTGGTGCAGGTGAACTCCGACTCCTCCAGCTGCACCAAGAGCCGCCCCCAGCCCCGGGGAGAGATGTCAGCCCTTCCCTGGGGTGGCTGGGCTGTGCCCATGGGGGAGGAGGAGCCCCCCAATGTACTCTCCTGCTCCTCCGCCCACTTGGACGCCAGGCCTTGGGTATGTGTGCTGCGGACACTCGCCTCTCCCTGAACCCCTTCTCCCCTCCCCGACCCCGGCAGGAGGGAAGGCGGTGCCAAACCCAACCATGCCAGACCAGGTAACTGACGTTTCCATGCCAGACCAAGGGCCTACAAGTGGCTTCTTCCCCCTCTTTGACACCTTCCTTCTTAGGGTTCAAGAATTAGTTGAGGACAAGAGGGGGAGACAGAGAGCTGGGGATGGGGGGGGGCGGGCAGGGGGCAGCACCATTGCCCCCAGGGCTGGCAACATCCTCTCTCCAAAGATACCTGGTTCTTCAGCTGGGCAAGTTCCCGCTTGCTGGGGGCATTGTTCTTCAGGTGGTCCAGCATGATCTGGGCGTCTGCCAAAAGGGCCTTGCTGCGTTTCAGGTCTTTCCGCAGCCGCTTCTCGGACTCGAAGTCCCGCTGGCTAACCTAAGTAGGTGGGCATTGGAAGTTAAGAGCTCTGGGCTCGGCCCCAGGGGCTCCCCTCCTGTCTTCCCCAAAGCCCACTCTCCACCCCCTGCTCTCCTCCTCTCAGCTTGGGAGTGCCAATGTAGGGTCCCAGCCCCCATCCCACAAGTCCCGGCCCCCCAGCGTTCTGTCCCTAGGCCCCCCACCCTGGGGCCAGATGGGAAAGGGCCCTGCTCACCTGGTCGCTGAGGGCCGTGAGCTTGCTCTCCAGCTCCCGCTTCTCTCGAAGTACCTTCTGCTTGTCCTCGTACTCCTCCTCCATCTGTACTTCCATCTGCTTTAACTGCAGCCCCGTGGCCGAGACACGAGCCCTTTAGTGTCCAGCCCCAGGCACCCCACTTCCCTTCGGGGTCCCTGCCCTGGGGAGTGCACTGGGATAGAGCCAAGCATGGATGACCACAGAGGGTTCAGCTCCTGAATGGGAAGCTCCCAGAGGCGGAATGGCAGGCCGTGTGGAGTGGCCATCCAGGCTACGGGAGACCTTGCTAAAGACTCTGGAGTCCAGAGTGAGCGGAGCCTCTTCCATCGGACGGGCTGACCACAGGCAGCACTTGAGTACATGGGTGGGCATGAGGTGGGCACTGCTTGGTGTAGCAAGCAGGGAGCATCCGTGCCTCGAGGGCCTAGGCTCTTTATAGACTCTGAGGAACTATGTTCTAGTCAATGCCTGGAGCCCCGGAGACTCTTGGTCCAGATGGCCACGGAAGAATGTGACGTGAAGGTAGAAATCAGGAAGCCCGACTAAAGCAGAGGTAGGTAGAGTAGGTGTTGATACTGGACAGGGAAGTGCCCGGGTGCCTCACCTTCTTCTGACAGGACTGCCGGGCTTCCTCCACCTCCTCATCCCGGCTCTCCATCTCCTTGCAGTGGGTCTGCCGCATCCGTTCCATCTCCATCTCTAGACGGAGCTTGGCCTGGAGGGGGTTAGGGGTAAGCACTGCGTTCCTCTTCAGCTCTCTCCAGGCTCAGGCGCAGAGCAGCTCTCTGCCAACCAGCTCCCTCTGCTCCTGTGGCAGCTGGCTCTTCCTGGGAAGCCGTGTCCCCTTGCTAGCTGCCTGGCACAGGCCTAGAGAAAGGCTGCTGGGGGGTGGGGCGGGGTAGGAGGCCACCACACAGCTTTTCCGTTTGGCTTCCAGGATGTAGCTTTCTGAGCTGAGAGGGGGTTCTCAGAAGCAGGCTGGGTGGGCTCAAGGCCCCCAGGTGGGGGAGAGGCAAGGAGGGGCTGTGCATCCCGAGCCCCTCACTACTAGAAAGCTCCACAAAAGCTTCGTGACCTTCCTGACACTGTGCCTGGCATAGAGCGGGTACGGGAACAGACGTGGACCGTCGCCCTCCTCTGCCCCCCGCCCCCAGTCCGCTATGGGGTGGAGGTGCCTGCTGCTGCTCCCCCTCCCATGCCCAACCCTCCAGCACCTGCTCCAGCATCTGGATGGTCCCCGCCTGCTCGTCCAGCTCTTCTTCTTGATCCTTGGCCTTGGCCTCCAGATCCCGGAGCTGTTTCTTGACCTTGGCCAGAGAGGCTTCATCCTTGGACTCTTGAGAGGAAATGTCCTGGAGTTCAGCCTCCAGTGAGACAACCTTCTGGGTGAGTCCCGAAATGTCCACGTCTTTTTCCTGGAGGCAGAGAGAAGAGGAGGCTGACGGGGCTGGCGGGGGTGACCCTAGCCTGTGAGGGAGAAGGGCCACACGGGCGGGCAGCCCTACCCACCTCCAGCTGTTGCTTCAGGCTGAACGCCTCAGCCAGCAGCACGTCCTTCTCCCGCTGCAGCTTCTCCCGCTGCAGCTTCTCCCGCTGGGCCTCCTCGTGAGCCTGTGCTAGCTCACTGTCAAACCTGCGAGGGAGCGGGCCATGAGGGCTCCCTGGCTGGCAAACAGGAGCGCCAGGCTTCCCAAGCCCCAGGCAGCACCAGAGCCTGGGGCCAGTAGTGAGGTGCAGATAACACTCGGGGGTGACGGGCAAGGCCAAGGCCGTGCTGAGCAAAAGGTTTGGGATGGAGGGCATTTCACTGAGTGGGCCCAGGGGCCCCTTTCACCAAGGGGGCTTAAAAGAGGCCCGCAAATCATTTCCTGGGGAGAGGCAGGAAGATTCCTCCCTCAGTAACAAAGCCTCTACATTTTCCAAGGAGGAGGGGCCAGAGTCAGGGCATTGAAACGGTGTCCCTGCCGTGCCTAAGCCCCCTTGCCACTGTTCAATTTTGGCAACTTCAAGAGGAGTTGCTGGCTCCTGCCACCCCCTCTGGGCAGCCTCTGGTCAGGCCTACCCACCCCCATGGCACCATGGCCTCACTCAGACACCCCACAATGGGCTCAGAACTAGTCTTCCCACCATGCTCGACTTCCAGGGGCACCGGTGGGGGCCTCTGTGTTCACTCCTGCACCTCAGCCTTTCCTTTCCTGCCAGTGACTCCCAATCAGGAGCGAATTGCTGAAATCCCTCTTAACACCTTCCCCTGAATAACTAACTAATCAGGTTCCTGTTGGAAATAGAATATCATCCACCACCACCCCCTGCACCGCATCAAGAAAAGTAGTAAGAAAACTCCAGGCAGCTGAAACCTAATAAGTTGCCCAGCAGGGTGTGCGCAACACAGTAACTAGGCCGTGCTGGCACTGTCATCGGGGTGCTCGGTAGGGAGGCCCCACCAAGGGTGCTCCCGGGGGCATCGGGCAGGGTGGGGTAGAGATAAGAACTAGGAAAGTGGGTAGTCACAGTGCTGGGTGTGGGTGAGGGCATGAGTATAAAGCCTCCCACCATTCCCCTCTGCCAACCCCCTTTTCCAGGAAACAGGCAGAGGTCACCCAGGGTAACCCTGAGGTTCGTGAGGTGGGTGGCAACTGGTGCCTCTGCTGAGAAGCCCGTCCCCTGTCCCTTGGGGCCCCCTGCTATTTCCAGTGTGTGTTGGGGGGGTGGTTCTCCATAATAAAGGAGCCCCATTCCCATCCCCAGTCAGGGAAATTAATTTAGATTGGATTTTCTCCCATAATGAGATGGAAGTGGCACTGCAGTTTAACGACATTAGGCAGGAGAGTGTGTCTGCGTAGCTGAGGCAAGCCAGAGATGGGGCGTGGGGTGGGGGCAAGGGGCAGGGATGCAGTAGAGCATGGCTGGTATCCGTCTCCCTGGGCCCAGGGCAGAGGTGGCAGCCACACCCCGGGGGGGCATGCATGGCTGAGTCCTCCCAATGGGGCAGGAGTTAGTCCCTCACACGGCAGGCCGAGTGACCACGCAGGCTGGGCCCCGGCCAAATCCAGGCCTTCCTTCCTCCCTCCCTGGAGGGGACCCTGTGGCCAGGCCCACCCACCTCCGCTGCTTCTTCTCCAGCTCATGGTTTCGGACCTGCTGGCCCTCCAGGTGCAGCTTGGTGTCCTGCAGCTCCGAAGTCAGCCGTTGGCACTTCTTCTTGAGCTGCTGCAGAGCCCGCTGGCTCTCGTCACCGTCGGCCTGCAGGTCCCCGAGCTGGGGCCCGGGAGGAAGGGGCAGGGGCAGCTATCACTCAGAGTCTGGGTGGAGCCGGCCAGGGAGTGGGGGAGTGAGGGACAGGCCCACGGTCGCCCAGGGGACCTAGACAACAGTCGTTCACGCGTGGCTATCCCCTGCCACCAAGAGGCCACCAGGCGCACCCTCCTCCCCCCAGGGATTTCGGGGCCTCCGCCACTTCCTGAGCCGGCACGTGGCAGGGGGCCCCTCCCTGCTCCTTTCTCGGGACGCACCCGCCTCTCCAGCTGCCTCTTGTGCTGCTGCTCCACCTCCAGCTTGTCCTCCAACTCCTGTTGGAGCCGCTTCTTGGTGAAGTCCACCTCCCGCACAGCCCGCTCGTACTTCAGGCGCCACTCGCCACCTGTGGGGTTGCAGGCAGGTGTGCGTGTGTGCGTGCATGGATGTGCTTGTGCGTGTGCGTATCTATCTATCTCTCTCTGAGACGCCAGCGAAGGGGCAGCGGGAAAGGACGAAGCAGTGATGGGCAGCGATGGGAGAGGCCACAAGGGCTCAGAAAGGTCTCTGGCGCTGGAGGAGCCACTGGTCAGGAAGAGACTGATCTCTCCCCCTGCCTCCCACCCAGCCCTGGGGCTGCCAGGAGCACAGCCCTCAGACAACTCCCATTACCCTGGATGAAAACCGCCGGCACCCACTGGCCCCCCTACTTCCTCATCAGTGTTGTGGCAGCCCTACCGGGAGGGGACCCAAGCCTGGAGAGGGGGCCCAGCCATCAGGCCACCGCTGGCCCTCCTGCTTCAGCCCACCTGCGTCCTCATCATCCACTTCCCCGTTGATCTCAGCTGCCCGGATGAGCCGGGCCTCCATCACCTCCAACTCCATCACCTCCATCTGCTTCTTCAGGGCATCATACTGGCTCTGCAGAAGAGAGGGCTATGAGGTCCACAACCAGGCACTCTGGTGTGGTCCCAGGGCCACACGTTTCCCAGGCGCCGGCAGGGTAGAGAGGTGTGGCGGCTGACTCACACTGCGGCCCTCACCCGGCCCTGGTCTCACCTGCAGCTCCTTCATCTCCTTCTCCGCCCGGAGTCTCTCCGCCGTCTCAGCATCTAGCAGCTGGGTGGCGGACTCCCCCGTGTTACGTTCATCTGTCAGCTCCGATGTCAGCTCCGAGATCTGGGGGGGCGGGGGTGGGGGGGAGAGAGTCCACTACTAGTTGGAGAGTCCTGACTCACCTCAGCTGAACGTCCACCAGGGGCACCTCAGAGGGTCAGCCAGGCTGCCTGGGGCCAGGTGTGACTCACCCGGGTCTCTAAGCGGTCGCTACTGAGCCGTAGCTCGTTCCGCTCCTTCTCCACCTTCTCGAGCTTGCTCCGCAGCTGCTGGATCTCCTCCTGGGGCAGAGCAGGGAGGGCAAAGTGAGCCAGAGGCTGGGGTACGTGTGTGTCCCTGTCCCCACAGTACGGAGGTGGAGCTGCACCCTTAGGGGGAACACAGCCCGGGAAGCTCAGACCAGGCTCCAGGCAGCACCCCAGAAGGCTGCCTTCTCTTAGTTGGGCGCAAACCCAGGTGGCCAGATCTCTGGACTCAACACAGGAGCATGGGGGAGCCCAAGAGAAGCCAGTTAAGTCTCTTGCCACACAGGGACAAGTGGCACCCCTCTGCCCCCCACGATGCCCCGTCCCAAGTGGTTTCGTACGTCTCTGCTCCGGATCTGCTCCTCGGACAGCTGCACTTCGATGAGGGGCCTGACGGTGGTGAAGAGCCGCCACCAGGGCCAGTCCTTCACCCCTTGGTTCTTCTTGATGTTCTTCTGCACACAGCGAATGGCCAGGTCCTGGATCTGGGGGAAGGAGGAAGGGGGGACAGGGGTGCCACTGGCTCTCTCCCCTCTGGACTCAGGGCCCCTCTACCTGGCCCAACCCAGCCAAGGATCTTCCCTACCACCAGCAAGGCCACTGACCCTGCCCACACGACCCCTTGTCCGGCAGCCTCCCTCCGTGCCTCAGAGATGGGGAGGCTGGGGGAACACGGCACCGGGCACTAACCGCCCCACCGTCATTAGGAATAATTTCATCTGCTTTATTTGCTGCCTGATTATTTCCAGCACCCTGGCCTAGATGTGCTATAAAACCTAATCTTGCTGAAACACAAGAGGCGGCAGTGTTGGCTGTTTTATGGACTTGTTAATAAGAAAAGGAGTCGCTGACACAGCTCCTTAATCTTCATGGAGCAGCCTATGATCCAGAGCCCACCTTTGCCTGCACTCAGCCCCCCCCCCCCCCCCCCCCCCCCCCCCCCCCCCCCATACAGCCCTCCCACCGACTTGGGCTGCCCATCCCGCCCCTGTGGCCCCCAGCACACTTGCTGGCAGCAAGAGGACAGACACACCCCTTCCTGGCTCCGGGCCCCATCCTGGCTCTGTGCTCACTGGCCCTGGGAGGTTCCCACTCCTTTCCTGCGGTAAGGAAGGCTTGCTCAGCCCCAGGACCAGCCTCCTTGGTTTCCCCAGTCCCCATCCCAGCCCAGGAACTCAGTGACACCCATTTAGGCCAAGGAGCGGGAAGGAGTGTCCATAGGGCAGCACCTTTCTCTTCTTGAAGTGCTGGCGGGCCAGGAAACCCCTGCAAGCTGCCTGGAACAGGGTCAGGTTCCTGCTGGTTTGCTCATCCCGTTGTTCTTCTAGCCTCGCCAACGTGCCCGCCCGGAAGAACACCTGTGGAGCAGCAGGCCCAGGGAAGGGTGAGGGTGAGACCCAGGCCAGCAGCCGCATGGAGGAAGGGAGAGAAAAGGGAGCAAGTTGGAAACCAACTGCCTAAAGAGGAGGCCGGGGGCCAGGACGGGGAAGTTCTAGGAGGGGAGGAGTACGGTGGGAAACCTCATTTTCAAAGGGAGATGAAAGGAGAAGGAAGCCGGAGGGGGGGGTACCTGGGGCAATGAAGCGGTCACTGGGAGGCTGCCCTGCAGCACTGGCTGTGGTGGCTTCTTCCCCCAGGCCTGGCTAATGCTCCCCAGCACACACCCCCCACCTGTAGGGCCAGCCAGACACCAGCTCCCTGACAGCCAGCTGCCTGGGGTCAGGTGACATGGATGGGGGTGCCTGTGTGTGTGTAGCAGCGTGCAGGGGGAGAGGGACAGGGACGCTCCCGCCCCTACTCTGCTCAGTTTCATTTCTGTCACGTGCCGACACCCCACCCCCACCCCCCTGGCAGGTTTCATCTTTTCATGGTGAGGCTGGCGGGGTGGGCGGGGGCTGGCCCAGGCAAAGGACCTGCCATACAGGTTTGGGGGCTGAAGGAGAGAGGTGTGAGGAACCAGCTGGGCACCCCCACTCCCAACTCCTCCTCTCACTCTTCAGTACCCTGGGCCACAGCCCAGGGAAAATTTCCCTCCCAGGAGAGGAGGGAGAGGGGGCCAAATAATCCCTTAAAAAAAAAAAAAAAAAAGACTGATGTCCTTGAAAGAGGACAATGGGACACACACATCTAGGTGCCCGTCTGCTGCCACCTGACACACAGCACAGGCCCTTCCTTTTGTGGGGCAAAGAGATGATGGTGTTTCGCCGCAAGACGCGAGTTATATAAATGCGTGCAGAGCCAATCGATGTAGAACCCCAAGGCCTCCCATCGGGAAGAAGTGGGGGAGAAAGCGGAGACTTTCTGCTGCCAATGCTGGGCCTCTGGCCCCTCCAGGAACACCAGGTGCCCCCAGGCCGGCCAGCGCCTCCTCTTCCACATTCCCCAAGTCCCATGGAGGGGCTCCACACCTGCAGTCTCTCGGGCCTGAGCCCTACTGATGTCTCGACTGCCCACAGCCTTTGAGACCGAAATTACAGTAGTGAACAGGGAAGGTTCAAGACACCTCCCAGCCGACCCCCCACCTGCGCCACCCCACGCTGGGCACACATGCTTGGTCAGGACACACACCAGCTGGCGAGAAAGAGTGAGGTCCCAGGGAGGGACTGAGAATGGCCCAGAAGCACAAAGGGAACAGAGACTAGGGCCGTGAGCCTCCAACCTCTCTTGAGGACTTGTGTCTGTTGGGGTGAAGTGTCCTTTTGTAAGTTCCAGGCCATCTCCTCCCCCCAATCCCTGTTCATACGCAGCACTGTATAACACTCCAACCTCCAAGGTCCTCGCCTGGACCCTCGGGGGCCGGTGGGCTCCGATGCAGACCCGCTTTCTCAGAAGCACTGTCAGGAACACAGAGGGGCCCTGGCCAGTGTGAACGAGCTGCCGTCCAGGAGGCCTGGGCATCCTCTCCTGAACCAGATGGCAACCCACCTCGACGACCCAGGGCCGGGGCCTGCCTGTCTGCCTGCCTGCGCCTGAGATGACTCACAGCCGTAGAGGGCCCGAGACAGCGAAGGAAGAGGGCCGGCCTGGACAGGCCCTCTCCTGCCCCAAGACCTGCCTGGGAACCTAGGAGTTGGCTTGGAGATGGTGCCAGGGCAGCTGGTGGACGAGCCCTAGGGTGAGCTAATCGCAGGAGAAAGCAAGGGCCGATTGTTGGCAGCCTCGGGGAGGAAGCCTGACCAGTAGCCCCTCAGCTTAGGGGAGGGTGGGGGAGGGGGGTGGGGGGAACAGGGGTGAGGCCGACCCAACACAGCAGAGACAGAAAGAGAACAATGAGGTGGACAGAGAGTGTGGGATCTCAAAGGACCCCAGGGACCAGGAGAGAGACCGACAGACACACAAAACAGAGCCAAAGACCAAAGAATGGAAACCAGCAGGGACCGGGACCCCAAGGACCAAGAGGAAAGGGGACAAGAGACAGCAGAGACAGACAGGAAGAAGCCAAGGAGACAGATGGGAAGGGATCCACGGCGCGGCGCGGGAGGAACCAGGACCTCAACTCACAGTGCCAACTGGAGCGAGGAGAGGCGCAGAGAGAGGAGAGCGAGCGGGCAGGTAATTCTCACGCCCGTTCCTGTAGCATCCTTGCTGCCTCACTCTCCTCGCGGGATCCTGGGACCCCGAGGTCCTTCCTTCTCTGCTGACAGTTGGCCAGGCCCAGACCTTCTCTCGGACTCCCGGCTGCTCGCCCTCCCACCCCAGCCCTTGGAGCACGGACGTGGGCGCTGCCTGTCCAGGCTCCTAGTCACCAGGGAGAGGGGTGTGTAGGACTTCCCCCTGGGTCGGCCCATCCTGTGGCGGCGTGGAGTGCTGAAGCCGGCCGGCTGACACCCAGGGATGGGTGTGCCTGTCTTTAAAGCACGGCGTTCCTTTCCGATGAGGAATTCAGCCTGTGGGCAGGTGGTGGTGCCACAGCTTCCCCGTGGCCTGCTTGTTCTCTGGGAACCCTGAGGGCTCCAGACCAGTCTGCAAAGGAGGCTCTGCCCTGTGGACCAGTCTGCCTACTGCCCGCCTGCTTCTTCCAGGCCTGCTCTCCTGGCGCCCCGCCTTCCTGTCTGCCCCACTCCCCACATCTGCACGCTGCCCAAGTCCAGAGCCAAACCTCCGCTCTGCGCCCTCCTAGCCTCTCGGAGGGCTAGGAGACAGCCAGCACAGACAGCCCCTCACTCAGTGGTGGGGAGGGGGCATGCACATTTGCTGCAGCGACCGCACCTACCTTCCTGACTCCTGGCTTGAGAAGACGAAAACCCCTGAGCAGCTAGGGGGCAAGGCTCAGAGGGTTTCTAGGAACTTCTGAAGTCTGACTGCGCAGGGAGGAGGGGGCCACAAAGGTGGCTCAGAGGGAGGCCGGTGAGGCCTGCTTTCGGGACCACTCACCCGGCTGAGGCCCATGCAGTAGCTGCTCTTCTCCAGGTCCAAGGACTCTAGCAGTTCCTCCACAGCCTGCGGAGACAGGGGTTCGTCTGTCCGTCAGCAACACCACAAGCATGGCTGTGGCATTTCACACCGTTTAGGGCTGCTGCACGGCGGGGGGAACTCGAGGGCAGCGAGTTCGGTTGGTTGGTTGGTGTGTTTAGTTTGGGTACTTGAGGGAGAAGTTTACAGAGCAAATTGGTCTCCCACCATGCTCCACCACATGGCCCCACACTGCCCTGCATTCCCCATTTCCTTGGGACCCGATTTTCTACCCCTTCCCGCCATCTCGTCCTGGCTTTTTGACAAAAGTCGTCCTTTTGCTTTCCTTCAACGGACGGTTCTGTGGACCATGTTCCGCTGGGCGTTACTGCGTTTGGTAGGGGCGGAAAGATGGTCTCTGGGAATGGCTTCCACGCTGGAGGGCCAGAGCCTCTCGGGTTCCTCCAGTCTCTGCCAGGCCAGGCAGGTTGGCTGTGTTTGGTGAATGCATTTATTTTGGGTGGCGGTTCTCTAATTTTCTTCCACTCCGTCTGGAGCGCTTCGGTAAACACTCCTGATGTTGTCCACAGTGCCGGCGGCTGAGCTAGACTCTGGGAACACAGTTTTGACTACAAGAGTCTCTGTCCTTAAGGAACAAGCTTTCTGTCCGGGGAGCCTAATAAGCAAGTGAGTTTGTGAAGGGCACAGAGGAGGCCGCTCAGCCAGGCCCAGGGATGATGGCAGGCGCCCTGCAGGGGTGCCTCTTGTGCTGAGTTCTCAGGTACAGGTGAGCATTAGCTAGACAGAGTAGGGGAGAGAAGAGAGGGTCACCTGGCAGGAACCAGAGCATGAGAACAAAAAAAGCAGACTGCACTGAGGGGACACCCAGGGGTTCACTCTACTTGAAAAGAGATCAAGGTGCCAGCTAACGAGGTGGGAGTGGCCAAAGAATGGGTACCCTGAAGGGGTTCCCTCAGAGAGAGGCATGATCAGATTTTGTGATTTACAAAGATCCCCTACTTAGGCAGCTATTGGAGGGGAGGAATCTAGCCTGCCTCAAAAGGGAGGAGGAGGAGCAGGAGGAGGAGGAGGAGGAGGAGGAGGAGGAAAGTTCAGGAGCTATCAAGGAGGGAGACAACACCCTGTGTGTACCCAGGGTGCAGGGAGGTACATATGGGAGCAAAATCGAGGGTTGTGCCTGCGTTTCTGACTTACGTAACTCAATAGATAATGGTGTTATTCCCCAAGGTAAGGGATATAAGATACAGAGTAGGCCTGAGAGGAAATATAATTAGTTTGGTTTGAACACGCGGAGTCTGAAGTGCTGCGAGGCATACAGGTAGAGAAGTCCAGGCGGCAGCTAGGCGGGAATGTGTTTCTGAAAATTGGGAGCGCAGCCTGGGCTGGTGGTATTGATTTGGGAGTCATCGCTATCTACTTGGTCATTAAAGTGATGGGTGTGAATGAGGTTGTCCAGGAAGAGAGGGTGGAAGAGCAAACAAAGCCGGTCAAGGACAGAGTCTTGGGGATGTGAGATCTGTTGCCAAGGGGCAAGTGAAAAAGGCGAAGCGCCGAGGGACTGGCAAAGAGAGAAGTGCAGCAAGTGGAGGCCCAGGAGTGGCAGTAAAGGAACCACGCAAAGAATGTTTCCAAAGGAGCCGTGCTGTCAACACAGCATGCTGCCACAAACTCCTGGAACAGAGGGACAGGAAGTGCCCGTGGCTCTGGCCAGATGCAGGGCCTGGCAGATGAGAAGACTAGTCTCAAGGCATCCAGGAGTCGGGAGGGGTGGGGCTTGAATGGCAGGCAGGGCAGGGGCAGCAGGAGGAGAGTATTAGACGATGTTGTCGATTAACTGGATGGCACAGGGCAGGAAAGAGACAGAGCAATAGTCCAGCATGCGAAAGGGTTGACAGGAGGCCCCTTTCAGAGAGGAACGTCGGGGGGAGTGTTTATCCACTGAGAACAAAGAGCCTGTTGAAGAGAGGCTGAAGGAACAGGGCAGGGAAAGAGTTAAGGCTGAGGGCACAGGTCCCCAAGGAGGATGAAGGGAATGGAATCCAAAGCATGGGAGGAAGGGATTGGACCAGAGGAAGGATGCTCCTTCCTTCAGGGCAGGAGAGAGTTTCACAGAAGGGAGGAGAGGAGAAGGTAAACAAGTGGCCATCTAGCTCAGAAGCAACAAAGCCCACATGGAAGAAGCACACCAGCCTGCCTGTGTGATCACGAGGTGCCGAAGGGATCAGTTATCAGGCACCAAAGAACAAAAAATCATACCACTGTGTGCTCACCTCCCTGATATGATCACTGAAGACAAATGGGTGCATAAGCAAATGTGGCGAAGAAAGGTGATGGTGCCCGGCTATCAAAAGATATAGCGTCTGGGATCTTAAAGACTTGAAGGTAAACAAGCAACCATCTAGCTTAGAAGCAACAAAACCCACATGGAAGAAGCACACCAGCCTGTGCGATCACGAGGTGTCGAAGGGATCAGGTATAAGGCATCATCAGAACAAAAAATCT